CGCTGTAGGAAAGCGCAGACACTGAGTCCGCACCAGTTGCCGTGCTTGGCGCCTCAGAGTGCGTGTGTGAGGGAAGGGGCGGTTGAGTGTGCGGTGCCGTGGGCAGCTTTTTTCATTGATTGACTTGCGGTGTTGGCGGCGGGCACTGCTGTGCGTTGGGTCTTGCTGCGCCCAGTGGTGCTCTGCTGGTGGTTGCAGGGCGCTTTTTTTCCCTTCTTTATTGCGCTATTTCCCCGTGTGTGTGTTTTTTTTTCCTCTTTTTCTTTTTGCTGCCGAAGAGAAGTGAGGCCAAGCGAATAGCATTGTACTACACATCCCTCCTACAACAAGGAAGCAATGAGTGAGAAGGAAGCGGCTGGCGTCGTGAATCCCGTGGATCAGCAGCAGCCGGCGGTGCCGGAGGTGACGGATGTCACGCTGGAGGCCGCGCGCAAGCAGAAGATTCACAACCTGAAGCTGAAGACGTCGTGCCTATCGAATGAGGAGTTCATCCAGGACCTGCACGTGTCGGACTGGAGCGAGACGCAAAAGCAGAAGTTGCTGGCGGCGCACGAGAAGGCGCACGAGCTGCTTGGGGCGTTGGAGGGCGGGACGAAGTGGAACCTGACGGAGGCGTATGACATCAAGAAGCTGATGCGCGTGTGCGGGCTGCAGTTGTCTGTGCGCGAGCTGTACAAGCCGGAGGACAAGCCGCAGTTTATGGAGGTTGTTGCGCTGAAGAAGACGCTGAACGAGCTGAAGCAGCACCACAACAAGACGCGCACCGTCTCCTTCACCGGCACGATCGACAACGCGATTGCGAAGCTGGACAAGATCGAGGACGAGCTGCGCCGCTCGCAGTTGGACGCGTCGGAGATGGCGCAGGTGCCGGTGGCTGTGCTGAAGAACCTTGAGGGGTCAATGAACGTGACCGTTGTGCAGACGGCGCTGCTCGGCAACGAGGAGCAGATCAAGGCGCATCTGGCAGCGATTGACAAGGCGAAGGAGATTCGCAACGTGGCGATTGCTGACGGTGAGATGGCGATTGCGGAGGAGCAGTACTACATCAAGGCCCAGCTGCTGGAGCACCTGGTGGAGCTGGTGGCCGACAAGTTCCGCATCATTGGGCAGACGGAGGACGAGAACAAGCCGTTTGGCCGCATTCAGGATGTACAGAAGAAGTCCTTCCAGGAGACGTCCGCGATTAAGGACGCCAAGCGGCGCCTGAAGCAGCGCTGCGAGGACGACCTGAAGAACCTGCACGACGCGATCCAGAAGGCGGACCTGGAGGACGCGGAGGCGATGAAGCTGTTCGCGACGCAGAAGGAGAAGTCGGAGAAGTTTATTCAGGAGAACCTTGACAAGCAGGACGAGGCGTGGCGCCGCATTCAGGAGCTGGAGCGCGTCCTGCAGCGCCTGGGGACAGAGCGCTTCGAGGAGGTGAAGCGCCGCATCGAGGAGAACGACCGCGAGGAGAAGCGCAAGGTGGAGTACCAGCAGTTCCTTGACGTGTGCGGGCAGCACAAGAAGCTTCTGGAGCTGTCTGTGTACAACTGCGACTTGGCGATGCGGTGCATTGGGATGCTGGAGGAGCTTGTGGCGGAGGGCTGCAGCGCCATCAAGTCGCGCCACGACAAGACGAACGAGGAGCTTGGGGACCTGCGGCTGCAGGTGCACCAGGAGTACCTGGAGGCGTTCCGTCGCCTGTACAAGACGCTGGGCCAGTTGGTGTACAAGAAGGAGAAGCGCCTGGAGGAGATTGACCGTAACATCCGCACGACGCACATTCAGCTGGAGTTTGCCATCGAGACGTTTGACCCGAATGCGAAGAAGCACTCGGATGCAAAGAAGGAGTTGTACAAGCTCCGCGCGCAGGTTGAGGAGGAGCTGGAGATGCTGAAGGACAAGATGGCGCAGTCGTTGGAGATGTTTGGCCCCACCGAGGACGCGTTGAACCAGGCCGGCATCGAGTTTGTCCACCCCGCCGAGGAGGTGGAGGACGGCAACTTGACACGCCGCAGCAAGATGGTCGAGTACCGTGCCCACCTGGCAAAGCAGGAGGAGGTGAAGATTGCGGCGGAGCGCGAGGAGCTGAAGCGCTCCAAAACGCTGCAGAGCCGGCAGTACCGCGGCAAGACAGTGCAGCAGATTACGCAGTAATACGTGCCCGCCGGTGTCGCGGTCGTCGCCGTGTCGTTGCCCCCCTCCTCCCCTTGCTGTTTTTCTAAATTGATGTATGATCGTTATGTATGATTTGCGCTGTAGGAAAGCGCAGACACTGAGTCCGCACCAGTTGCCGTGCTTGGCGCCTCAGAGTGCGTGTGTGAGGGAAGGGGCGGTTGAGTGTGCGGTGCCGTGGGCAGCTTTTTTCATTGATTGACTTGCGGTGTTGGCGGCGTGCACTGCTGTGCGTTGGGTCTTGCTGCGCCCAGTGGTGCTCTGCTGGTGGTTGCAGGGCGCTTTTTTCCCTTCTTTATTGCGCTATTTCCCCGTGTGTGTGTTTTTTTTCCTCTTTTTCTTTTTGCTGCCGAAGAGAAGTGAGGCCAAGCGAATAGCATTGTACTACACATCCCTCCTACAACAAGGAAGCAATGAGTGAGAAGGAAGCGGCTGGCGTCGTGAATCCCGTGGATCAGCAGCAGCCGGCGGTGCCGGAGGTGACGGATGTCACGCTGGAGGCCGCGCGCAAGCAGAAGATTCACAACCTGAAGCTGAAGACGTCGTGCCTATCGAAT